TTTTATGTTTGTACAGTACAATTATTGGTCATTCTGAAATTTATTTTACATATTGACAATATGTAGTGCAGTGCAGTGTTGATTTAAAGAAAATAATCTTGAATTACACCTAGTGAACTTAAAAATTTTATGGGTGAAATGACTGCATGAAGCATGGGGTGACTTCTCTTCCACCCCCACTTCCTTCTCTTCTCCCTTCTCCTCCACCCCCACTTCTAATTCCCATCATCATCATCAACCAGGGGCCTTCTACATACACACCTCAAAGTAAGTGTACTTTACTGCATTTTTTTTTTTACTTTGTATGTAATTTTCGGTGAGCTGGAACCAATTACCCAAAATCCCATTGAAACAATGGTTTCGGTTAACGAACGACCTTCTGGAACGAATTGTGTTCGTTAACCGAAGGACCACTGTACAGTAAAGCCTCTATTTACTGGACTACTCTATGAAGAAGAAAATCTGTTAGCATATTTTATGGCATATAAGATACACCCCTCATTTTAGCAGGAAGTATTTAGGAAAAACTTTTGTGTGTATTTTCCTCCTGTAGCCATAGTTTTCTTAAAATAATATATACAGTACCAGTAAATGTGAGGAATAAATAAAAATAATACTGTTCCAATAAATAAGTTCCAACAAAAAATACTCTACTGCCAAACTAGTATTGTAAATAAATGTCAAATGAAATTTTAAGTCACCAATTGCATATACCTTACCCCCTGCTTCACCATAGTAACGGAGACCAGCAGGGACGTTACCTCTGCCGACTCCCTAGCAATGCTCCACACCACACACTGCGCCCTCCTCCTGCTCCTCCACTGAGCCAGCTGACTTGTGTGCAAAGAAATGTATATTCCCTTTAAGTGTTTGCCCTTAGGACAATTATTTCTTTTACTTTTTTCACTATGTATGTAGGATGGTGTGTGCATGTAACTGAGTATAATAAGTGAAGAAAGTTACATATACAGTGACCCCTCGGTTAACGAACTCAATCCGTTCTAGAAGGTCGTTCGTTAACCGAAAAGTTCGTTAACCGAAACCTTTGTTTCAATGGGTTTTTGGGTAATTGGTTCCAGCTCACCGAAAATTTCCTAAATTCAACAAAAATGGTAGAAAAGTTCACTTACTTTGAGGTGTGTATGTAGAAGGCTCCTGGATGATGATGATGATGATGGGATTTAGAATGGGGTTGGAGGAGAAGGAAGAAGAGAAGGCATTGGGGTGGAAGAGAAGTCACCCCATGGCACCATTTCACCCATAAAATTTTAGCTCTCTTGGTGTAATTCACGATTATTTTCTTTAAATAAACACTGCACTGCATTATATATTGTCAATATGTAAAATAAATTTCAAAATGACCAATAATTTGCTTGGAAACACAGAAAAAAAGCGTTTAGTTGAAGAGAGTCTCAAGCAAGATGTTACCTCCAGTGAAAACAGAGAGAGACTAACGCCTGTTTGCTGTGTTAAGAGGCTGGATGCCGCGCATTAAACTAATCACTTTACCTTCAATTATGTTCAATAATTGTTAAAATGACTAAAAAATTGAATATTAAACTTTTAAAATTATTGAATAGTATGAACTTCTTGATATTTACTAAAATAGTAAGGAATTTAAGCCCTAGAACCGATTAATGTATTGGCGGACTGAAACTAAAGCTGGTTGCCCGGTCAGTGCAAGCGAAAACATGTTGAGGTCGGTTCGTAAGAAATTCGTTAACCGAATTTTTGTTCGTTAACCGAATTGAAGATCCTTATGGAAGGCAGTTCGTTAACCGAAATTTCGTTAACCGAGGCGTTCGTTAAACGAGGGGTCACTGTACAGTATCTACCAAAATATATGAGTTGAAAACAACCATAACACCTTACAGCTAGGCCCAGTAGCCTGGTGGTTACTATGATGAGTCTAACCTGGCTACAATGCTGCCCGCGATGGTAACAGATGCAAATGTAAAAAGAAGGTTATCAGGTATGGCATTAATAGATTGTAATGCTTGTAAGAGTTCAGAAATGGTTAATGCTTAGCTACCTCTGAGGAGTCGGGTGTCTGCCATACGGACATTAATCGTCTCAGGTTATCATCATCAGTACAGTATATATAAATTGAGCTTTTATATTTGCAATAATATTTTTTTTTATTAATTAAAATTTTTAATAATGTGCTTAAGCAAGCAATAACATATTTTTAATTCTGGAGTTGGGTTAGGTAGAATTTAGCTTAATGGAGACAGCAACTGGGGATTCAATAGCTTATGGGAGACCTCTACTTAACATATAGGACATAGGCTGGTTATTTAGCCATTTTTCAGTCAAAAAAGTGCGCCCTATATGCTGTAAATTACAGTACAGAGTATGTCGAGAGTTCGTTAGGTTTGAAACTTCCAGCTTTATTGTACATTACAGTAGTAACATCTCCATTAGCCGGAATCCCTCTTAACCAGAACTCTACGATAGCCGGAATTGAAATTTTCTCAGAAAATTGTTCCAAAATCCAGAATTTTTCTTTGGGAATGATTTTCCAAGGGGAACAGTTTCTGGAAAATTGCAAGACAATTTTCCCAGTACCTGGAACCTCCGGAAAATTCCGGGGATGGGGGAATTTTTTTTCCGGGTCTGAGAGATGGAAATCTGGCGCATTTTCCGAAAATTCAGAGAAAAATTTTCCTGTATAAATTCTAGAAAATTCCTGGGGATAGGAGATATTTTTCCGGGTTCGAGAGATGATGTAATGCGCAATATCTGGAACTTCTGAGAACGTCTTTCCATTACACAGAAAATTCTGGGGATGAGGGATTTTTTTTCGGCTTTGAGAGATGATGTAATGTGCAATTTCTGGAACTTCCTAGAGTATTTTTCCGTTACCCGGAAGTCTCTCATTTCCAGAAGTCTCTGCTACAGGGAGGGGGAAAGGGGGGGGGGGGTCCCCAACTTACGAGCGCCCGCTGATACAATTGGGGTTAAACTTTAAATTTACAGTATTTTATTTACCTGATAACTTATTTTTTACTTTCATTTACTGTATTGTATCATTTCATTTCATCTTTTCTCTTAAATTAAGTGATTTCAGATGTACATTGTATAAGGACTTAGGCTATGATATACAGCGGTTCCTCGGTTAACGAACACAATTCGTTCCAGAGTCATTCGTTAACCGAAAATTTCATTAACCGAATCCATTATTTCAATGGGATATTGGGTAATTGGTTCCAACTCACAGAAAAGTACATAAAAAGTAAAGCCAAAAATGTATAAAGTCAGAAACACTCCTAAAATTCCCCTAAATCGCCCTTAAATCACAATACTATATATATACGTACATATACACTTTTACTTTTAAATCACTACTGTAATGTGATACAGGTGATTAATTTTTATCTCTTGTGCAAAATATATGACGTTTATATTCAAATTATTCGCTGTCTTGTAAGGATTCCAGCAATGCAAATTATATTCTCTTAACTTTAGTCTGAGATATTATATAAGATAAAATTTGTAAGCCTAAAACCCTGGCTGGAGGAGAGGGAGGGAGGGAGGGAGGGAGCGAGCGAGCAGGTGAGGTAATATGTTTGACAGTTGGAGCCAAAAGTCTCGTGTGTGTTTATTAAACAGTCCTTAAGTGACTAAGCTTCTCTCATTTTAAAATGCCAGTGAAATGACCTGGGAGAATATAAATTACATTGCTGGGATTCTTGTAAGATAGTGATTAATTTGAATATAAACAAGCTATAAATTGCACTAGACATAACAATTCTAACACCATAATCATTTAGTACATGTACAGTATAGGTTTGCACTTAGGTCATTTATTTCTTTTACGTTTCTTTTAGTATGGTGTGTGCATGTAAATTAATAAAAATAAATGAAGAAATTTATGTAAATCTACCCAAAAATACAGTTGGAAAACTTTACATTACTAAAATGTACTAAACTAGTGTACTAAAATTTGTATCTCTTGTGCAAAATATATGACGTTATATTCAAATTATTCACTGTCTTACACACTGTCTTGCAAGGATTCCAACAATGTAAATTATATTCTCCAACTTTAGTCTGTGATATTATGTAAGATAAAACTTAAAACCTACTGTATAACCACCAAACCCTTACTGGGAGGGGGGGAGGAGGAGGGGGAGTGACATGTTTGACAGTTGGCGCCAAGGTCTAGTGAAGTATTTATTTGTTTATTTATGTCCTTTAGATTGAGTTTTGTTTTTTGCTTATAAAATGTCATAGAAGTGACCGGGAGAATATAATTTACATTGCTGAATTTTTATAAGATAGAGATTAATTTGAATGTAAACATGTGATAATTTGCACTAGACAAAATTTAGATATCATTTTGTATTTATTTTGATTACATGCACATACAGCTTTGCCCTTAGGACAGTGTGTGCATGTAAATGAGTTTCAATAAATGAATAAAGTTACATATATCGAGCCAAAATAATATTTGAAAAACTTTATGTAGACAGAGCTTGGATGGCTAAATTTTAGAACGACCAATAATTTTAATATAAAAAATGCACAAATATTAAAGAGCACAATTTTCTTGATATTTACTCCACTGGAAACGAATGTAAACATAGAACAGATTACTGAATTGGCAGACTAATCCATCAGCTGATGCTCACAACAAAACGTGTTTGTCGTAAGGATTTCGTTAATCGAAGTTTTGTTCGTTAACCGAATTGAAGATCCTTATGGGAGGTAATTCGTTAACAGAAATTTTGTTAATCTTACTGTTCGTTAACCAAGGGACCACTGTAGTGGGATTTTAAACATAGTTCTGTAAGTACGGTATGCACATGGCATGTGTTCCAACTTATGTACAAATCCAACTTAAGAATGTCCTTAGGAACGGAACTGTTCATAACCCGGGGACCCTCTGTATATCAATTTGGTTTAAACCCGCTCAGTACTTTATATTAGAACAGTGGAATTTAATACAGTAAGTTTTGTATATTTCTGATGGAAGTACTGTACTGTATGTTCTCTTCAGACATCAAATCGTCTCCAGAATTTGAAGCAGAGGGCAGCAAATGCTCAGGCCAAGGTAGACAAATTGACAGGTGCAAGCAAAGCCACTCAGGTAAGTTCTGTTTCCCTCTTATTTCTCTTTATTTTTCATTTCATTGTGGCACAGAATCGCTCAGCCTACTGTACAGTATATAATTTTAATTAGTTTATAAATTCATTTTTTGAGCATATTTGCACTCAACAGATATTTATCAAAAGGCAAAGTCTTATTTTCTTTTTATCAAACTGTTGATCTCAAGTACTGTACAATGAAACTCCTATTAACAATTTTAAGTTGGTCTGTTCCTTCGTGTTATTACAAAGTAGTACTGTATCATTACTTTTTATTGTCATATAAGTAAGTAACTAAAATACTGTGTTTCATTACCCTTCCCAAGTAACTCATGTTTTTTTTTTTTTTTTTTTTTTTGAGAGGATTAGCCCACCCGGGCACAGGTCGCTGACCCACATCAGGCCCTGGGAGCGAAAATGTAATAATAATAATAATAATAATAATAATAATAATAATAATTATTCATAATAAATAAAACTTATAATAAATAATACAAAATTGAAAAATTAATGATAATAATAATAATAATAATAATAATAATAATAATAATAATAATAATAATAATAATAATAGTAAAGAATAAAGAAATACAAAAATGAAAAAAAGGTCAATAGTGAGAAATTATATACTGTATGTGCAGTATGTTGCATTGTCAATAGTAAGAGAAACAATTGAGACCCTGCAATTGTGTGTAAATGAGGCAAAAAGTCAGATCAGCAACCTGGGACTTAGTCATAATTTTCGTGATGCCATATGGCAGCAGGGTCTACCATGAGACAATAGGGTGTCTCTAGGAGGCGAATTTTTTTTTTTTTTGAAAATGGGCCTGGCGGTGGCTAATGATGTAGTTCTATGTGCAGAATCATGTGATATCTTCAGATTTGAAAAGTTTTTGTTTTTTGCTAGGTAAATTTTGGCAGAAATCTTATGAGGAATTAGTATTCCACACCAACACCACTAAATAAGCTTATTTAAAATGGAAATAAATGTATCAAGTTGTTGGGCAGGATGAAAATGATCCAGAATAGTGAAACAGAATGATGTAACACATTTATTAAATTTAATATCCTTTAGAAAATAAAATCATCAAATAAAAACTGGGTTTTACTACTACGACGGTGTTGCTTTTCCTAGAGAACATGTACTTTCTTCTTCTGTTTCCCTCATCACCTCCCCTGCTGACCACCTGAGCTCCAGATACTTGTGCCCTCCCTCTCCTGGCTGTGCGTGACTGCTGGCCTCGCTCACTTGCTGTACACAACACTCTATACTCTGGGTGTGCGAGGGCCAGGCAGGGACATGCATGGGGTTGTCCAGGAAAGCTCTGACTTGAACATTGGTGAGGCTGCAGGTAAGAGGGGGCTCACTGCCAGCCTGGATGTTATCCAGACCTATGAGATCAGTGAGGGTCTTGGCACCTAGATTGACTTTAGGAGTCTTCCTGACCCTGAAGGAATCGTCACCAACTGATTCGTCATGCCCAGATCCTCTCATAAGTCTCATATCCAAGATCTTTTTGACTGCCACTCTTCTCTCCTCCTCATCCTTACTGCAGAGCATTGTCTGCAGAACTGCCTCGGGATGAGCATACCAGAAAGATCTCCTCACAGTCTGCTCCACAATCTGAACAACCTTCCTTGGCTGACTCCTCCAGGGCTCAAGCTGGAAGAGAACATGCCTCGGACCTTCGGAGAACAGTGACTTGACAGCAGTGTTGAACCAATTTGGCAAGTAGACACTCACGATGAATTGGACAATAAGTCTCAGGTTGTGAAGCTGGTTCCCTTTCAGTTTATGATGAGCGACCCAAATTCTGCAGAACCTGAGAGCCGTTGTGAGCCACCTAGAATGTGAGACTGGACCTATCTGCAGGTAAGCAAGTCTATCAGGCATGACCCCACTTTTGATGGCACTGCAAATCATGTAACCATAGTACTGGTCAGTACTCAGGTCGTTAATGACAGTATGTGCAAGCTCAACGAGTGGAGGGCCAACTGTGATTTTTTCAAAGCTCGGATATATTTCTAACTCAGTGGCAGAGTCCAGCATCTTGCCAAGAGGACCAGACCATCTGTTGTTTGAAAGAGTCTTGCCATCCAGCTCCTGGATCAGATGTCTGAGTGGCAACTCGTTGGTGTGGAGGTCACAAACAATCCAGACCAGCTTCCTCCCAATCTTCATCTATCCGCCTTGGCCCCCATACACTTACCCTGTAATTTCCGTATTTGGTGCTGTCCCCTCCAATGGCCTGCAGGGTCTGGTCTACGTTCCTCTCTCTGAGCCAGTTCACAATGCTATCTGCCACTATCTCAGCTGGTTTCCTGATGTCATCTTTTTCTGGAGTGAAATGCCACAAATACTTCCCTCCTGGTTCACTGCAGCAGGAGTAGTGTTCCTCCTTCACCATGACAGGGAACAACTTGTCAAAATCTCCAACTTTCATGAACACTTTAGTGTCATCCCTTCTCCCATCAAAGAACAAACAATTGATTCCATTTTCTCTTATCCCCTTATCAAACTCTTCTTCTAGGTTACTGACAAGTTTCTCCTGAGCTCTCCTTACTTTGTTATGATCTATCACCAGGTGAACATCATTAGGTGTTATCAAACCACCGTCAATCCAGGCAGCTGTTGCTATCTCTGCAGTTTCTCTGAGACCAGTGTGGTGTCGCATGCTGGCCAGAGCTATGCTCAGGATATCTTTCCTATTTCGAATCTTATGCCTGGAAGGTTTGGGATCATTATTTTCTGGGTTAGGGACAAAGTCACCATTCTCCTGGTCAGCACTCGGATCAGCCATGGGGAAGTCATTAAACTCTGAATCAGCTTGACTCCAATCATCGGCCTTTTTACCTCACCCTGGGCCTTCTCAAGTCTCTTTTCTCGGCAATTCTTCTCCTCTTCTGTCTCTCTGTGGCAGCCTCCTGTCTCTTGGACTCCGGAATATCTTGGCTAGAAATCATGAGAGCCCCTATACTGCCAGTCTTCTCTGTGCTTTGACAAATGCCAGTTCGATCACAGGAATCTTCAGTTCACGCTTGCAAATACAGGAGATGTGGGCCTCGGATTTACAGTCACGATCGCATCCAAACTCAGGACAGAGAACAATTGGGCACTTGCAAGTAATTATGTCAAATAACTGGTCCAGTTGCTTGGCAAAGCTGTCCTTAACTGCAAGTTTTCCTCTCCCAAGAGAGATATCTCTTGCCTTTCCCCAACTGGCTAGCAGTCTCTCACTAATCTTCTTCTGACTTGTTATGACTGGAGGCCTGAACTGAGCGTTAGCCAGAGTGTACTGTGCCAAGACAGCTTTGGTCATATCACTGGCAATGTCTTTGTTTGTGTAAGTTCTTTGGTTCTTTTCACTGATTTGCCTGATTAAAACACCGTATCTCAAAGCATCTCTCAATGTAGGCAACTCCGACTTCAGGAGCTCTCTCCCAGACCCAAGATAGTGACTAAGATGGCTGGATTTTTGGTTCCTTGTCCTGACACAAGCAGCCATCGCAAATATTATCAACTTATAAATGCATCAGAATCTGAAACAGAAAAAAATAATGTTAGTTGGGTTGTTAAAGAATGAAGTCAGAAAGCAATGTTCACTATTTAATTGTAATGCACTAATGCAGCTGTACGTTAGATTTTCGCTAAATTTCACGCTAAAATTTACCTAGCAAAAGGTTGCAAAATATTGAAACTGAAATTATTTTCTGTTTATATACACTAAAATCTACCAAAAAAGTGATGGGCCATTAGTTTTAGCTGATCTTCCCTCCTATGACACACCCTACTTGTACATGTAATCGTAACAGACGATACTTAGGTTACGTTAATTCTTACTTGGCACATGAGAATTTCACTGTTAAAACATGAACACTGATATTCACAAGGTTCAACTGAGTTAAACTGACTTAATATGGCAGGTGTGAGACATATCTGAGAGACGATGAGGAGGGCGTCATAGAGGTGTCGCGCTTCCTCGTGCACGCGTTTATATATGAGGTTAACTGGCAACTCAGGCATGCCAAACGGGCAATACGCGTAGTAACATATACTGTACTTAATTTAAATCAGTTGCTGTACATTTAGCTTTGAAAATCCGTGTCATGGGTCAGATGAATTTCTTACGCCTATTGTTACAATCTAATCAGAGGTTGAGCTTGCCAGGCAATATTGAAATGGACGATAGATGCCCAAGTTGATAAGTCTTTCTTACTTACGATAGAGGCACAAGTTGATAACGGTTTTCTTACGACGTCATCAAAATTTTAGACAAGGGCCTTCTGTGAGTCTGCTGTTAGATCTTGGAGATAAGAAGACTGACATATTCTTTTTAGGTTACTAATTACTTTTTAAAATATAAAACTGGAATACAAACATCAGATTCTCTGATGATTGGGAATCAAAATGATATAACTTCAGTATCAGTTTGGCACTCAGAGCGTCCTTACGGGCTATATTAAGGCTTTGTCATTTCTACTGGCAGACTCTATTCAACTGATTTGAAAATTTTAATAACAGTAAATACAGTTGAAGCTTTCAACATCACTCACTAGGGCTCTTGATTGTTTCGTCTGTAATCAGACATATCTTACTTACTCTAACATGTACGACTTCAGTTGCAATTTTAAATTTCATAACATGATATGAGATACTAAGGAATCTCAGAGTCTCTGAGGTACTTGAGAGAAAAAGGAGGATTCAGGCATACTGAAACGGGGAGAAAATGGTTGTGTCAACTGGGGGACTCAATAAAGAAGTTAAAGCTACATGTTTTATGGGCTAGTGAGCATAATATGAATCGTCTGATTTTACTTTGACTAACATGTACGACCATAGTCAGTACAGCACATGATTTATAAAAGTCATTTCTAAGAGTCCTTTTATGGTTTTGGTTTAAGCTGGAAGGTAATGCTAATCATTTTATTATTCTCTACCTATTTCAAGGGGTTCTTATGGATTCTAACTCCTGAGACTTACCTGGCTGCATTAGCACAAATTAATCAGTCTGGCCATGATTATAAACTGGGATTTTTGGATCAGTTTCCATTTGAGAGACACTAGCAATATCACTAGTGAATGTTGCATTTTAACACCTTGTGTAAAGGGTCCCCTCTCTGCTGAATAAAATCATCTTGCATTCGCCAAATAAAATATTAAAAGTGATGTCCCAATAATGAAGGGGTTAAGAACCTTGTACACATACTCATGTTGTCACTTTCTGTCTCGGATATTGTCTAACTCATAAATTTTTAAAGTTGGTCCCTCTTACACATGTCTTAAGTTTTAATTCAGATCACTTATAACACTTAATGTTTCACAATCTTGTTATTTTCTCTTTAGAAAATCTCAACATTATTCAGTAATCTCTTTCACTTATGCCAGTATCCTATACAGTATATGTAATACTGTACTTCTGTTGTTTAACCAATAATGTTTTTCTTTTTAGGTATTTTCCAGTGCACAGTATCCAGGTGGTGACAAATATAAGCCTTATCACCCAATTCATAAAGGAGAAGATCCAATACCATTTATATCAACACCAGTGAAGTTGAAAGAAGATCTGTTATTTAATGCAGCTAATTTACAAGTAAGTTTATAAACAAATGTGTTTTGCCATCACTAATGTTATTAGTATACAGTACAGTAGACTCGCATATTTATGCGGGGGTAGGGTTCCTGGGACTTCGCCTAAAGCCGAAAAATGCGTAAAGTCAGAAACACTCCTAAAAATCCCCTAAATCGCCTTTACTGTAATGTGATATAGGTGATTAATTTTTATCTTTTGTGCAAAATATATGATGTCTAGATTCAAATTATTTGCTGTCTTGCAAGGATTCTAGCAATGCAAATTATATTCTAACTTTAGTCTGTGATATTATATAAGATAAAAACTTTAAGCCTAAAAACCACCAAACCCTGGCTGGGAAGTTGGGGGGGGGGGAGGGATGAGGTGACACGTTTTTTGACAGTTGGCGCCGAAGGTCTAGTGCGTGTTTATTTATCTGTCCTTAAGAGTGACTTTAAGTTTTTCTCTTATAAAATGTCACAGAACTGACCTGGGAGAATATAATTTACATTGTCGGGATTCTTGTAAGATAATGATCAATTTGAATATAAACATGCTATAGTTTGCACTGGACAAAAATTTTAGTAATCATTTAGTACATTTTTTCGAGTACATGTACCATACAGCTTTGCCCTTAGGATTGTGTGTGCATGTAAATGAGTAAAAATAAATGAAGAAAGTTACATATACCGAGCCAAAAATATTAGTTGAAAAACTTTATGTAGACAGATCTGTGTTGTTGTTTTGAGATTATTCATCCCCTTCCAATGTCACCGTGGAGGGTCATCAAGGTCTGGTAATGCTGCAGGGGAGGATGTGGGCAGCTGAAGGTCACTGTGAGAAGTTGAGGGTGTTGGCTAATCTGCTGACGATGTTGATGCTGAGGTTTTCTTAAAGAACATGGTGATGGGAAGCTGTCGTTGTTGTTTCTTAAGCTGCTGGAACATATTCTTATACTGAGCCATAAAGCTTGTAAGACCTCGTGAGAAGTTGATGCTGCGCTCCATAGAGGGGTCATACTCAGACACTAAGTTTTCAAGTGCTCGGCCACTTCAAACACTACACTAAACTTGTGTATATCCCAACATGCTGGCTCTTCTTGTTCTTCATCATCACCACCGCTGTCTTCTTCGTCCTCTCTCACTATGTCCTCCAACTCAGCATCAGCCGGAGTTTCCCTGTGCCCTTCAATTAACTCCTCGATCTCCTGCTCAACCATGTCTTCAAACCCATCTCCGCCTACAGCCCTGGCCACTGTCATGATGTGCTTAACTTCAGAGTCGATCGTAAGGAATCCTTTGAAGTCATGTACACAGTCACTCCACAGTGCCCGCCAACACGAATTAACCGATTGGTTTCGGTGCACCCAATTAGCAATGCTGAATTCCTTCCAGCGTGCCATAACACTGTTGTTAGTGCCATCTTCCATGGTGTTGCGAATGCGAACGAAGGTGAGGCGTGTGTACGCTGCCTTAAAGCACTGAATCACGCCCTGGTCAATGGTGGATGGAGGTGGTGTTGGGTGGCAGGAACACTACCTCGACGTCATCGTGAGCGAATTTTATGGCATCCGGGCGGCCTGGTGCGTTGTCAACGACCAGCAACATCTTGAAAGGCAGGCCCAGCTTCTCTAAGTAGCTCTTTGCCTCGGGGATAAAGCATTTGTGGAACCACTCAAGGAAAAGCATTGCTGTCACCCAGGCTTTCTTGTTTGACTGCCAGTAGACAGGGAGGAGATTCTTATTTTTTCCCTTCAAAGCATGAGGGTTGGCAGACCTATAAATCATGCCTAGCTTTATCATATGCCCTGCTGCGTTGCCACATATTAGGACAGTGACGCGGTCTTTTGCAGCCTTGAACCTGGGGGCCTGCTTCTCAGACTTGGAAATGTAGGTTCTGGTTGGCATTTTCTTCCCAAACAAACCTGGTTTGTCAGCGTTGAAGACCTGCCCTGGAAGATATCTATTTTCCTCAATCAATTTCCTGAATTTGTCTGGGAACACCCGTGCATCTGCCTCGTCCGCCGATGCCAATTCGCCAGTGATTCTAATATTATTCAGGTTGAAATGCTTTCTGAAACTGTTGAGCCAACCTGCACTGGCTTTAAATTTTTTTCTCATTGCTGGTGGATGCTTTGCCCTGAGGAACCTCAGATTTAAACTGGTCATAAAGACTTAGTGCCTTCTCCCTGAGCATGTTGCCGTCGATGGGGACATGTTTCTGGTTCATATCCTCTACCTAGATGTTTAATGCCTTCTCCACCTTCACTAGAGTTACATCTCTAGACACCTTAGCAGTAAATGAGGCTCTTGTAGACACGGTTTCACCAATTTCCTTCTCCCGAATCTTAATGAACCTCACGCTTGATTCATTGTGTCCGTACCTCCGTGCCACAGCAGCGACCGACATCCCTCCCTTTATTAAGTCTAAAACGGCTACTTTTTCTTCCAAGGCCATCATGGAGTGTTGTTTCTTTGCTGGGGGACCAGAGGTAGAGGTTGGCTTGTGGTTGAGCATTATGAATGAGTATGAGAGGTTTAAGTGCACTAAATTGACACTGTTACGTTTTAAATGCAGGAAAGTGGTTTTCTTACCGTAGAACTCGGATACCTTCACACTGGTTACTCACCCAGGAGATTATGGTGTATCACTACGTAGAATTTCACTCTGCTTCCGGCATTCAATGCGTTGTGTACTTGATAAATGATAATTTAATGAATTCCATTAATTTCCAACATCCATCAAAGTTATTGGTTATACTTTGTCATAACCAAATAGTCATTACCTTTGGTAATAATAATAATAGAGGGATCACAGATACGGCCTGATCATTGCACTTACGTTTATTTGGCACAATTCCATACACTGGACTTATAATTTGCATGGATAGGTCAGTCACTCACATTCACGCCACAGTACCGTAAGTTATAAGGGAGAGTTTGTCAACCTGGAGAATTAATTGTTTAGATCTATTAGGCCGGCCTGGAGTGCAAACAGGCCCTCACCATTGATCACTTCCTTTACAGGATGTGTTTACTTGTCGCTGGACTTAACAACAATCTCGGGGATTTGCACACACAGACTCGTAGCACTGGTAGGACTGTATGGCCCCTGTTCTAAATCTGCGGAGCAGGAGGTCTTCTCTAACCCAAGGTCTAAAGCCCACTGGCTAAAATGTGGTTTTGAGGTGTGAAATGACCCTTATCGGCTGGCCGGGTACCTTATCTCTACTTAAACAAACATTTGGGATGGGTTGTGCGGGAGGCCCAGCGCAACCCATGACAGACACACACATGAGAGGCAGGTGTTACTCCGACAATACCCACGCGGCAACTGAAGACAGAGAGGTGGGATGGCGGGGATGGAGCTTTTGCGGGCTAGCGTTTGGCACGCTTACGACCCATTTTTAAAATTTTGAGTTTGAAATTGGAAATTGTAACTTAACCCCCGTGGTAATCCCCATATAGTTGAAACCGCGTAAGAAAATTACTTTAAAGTTGCGAGTCTACTGTATACTGTACGAGGTCTGAGAGTGAAGTTGACAAACTCAGTTGTGTTGTCGATCTTAAGTGAATCGGACGTGTGCAGTGACAGCTAATGTTTTAAAACAAAGAACAAACATCAAGTTTTTCGTGAAACTGGGGAAAACTGGGCCTGAAATTCAGGATATGTTAACCCAAGTTTATGGGGATAAGGAATTAAAGAAAACATCAGTTTACAACTGGATCAAATGACTTTCTGAGGGAAGAGAATACGTGACAGACGATGACAGAAGGACAACCAACAACAAGCAAGACTGAGGAAAACATTGAAAAAATTAGGAAAGTCTTGTGAGCTAACAGGCAATTGATGGTGAGCAGCATTGTAGATTAGGTGCAGATTGACAGGGAAACAGTGAGAAAGGTTTTGATTGAAGATTTAAAGATGAGAAAGTTTGTGTGAAAATGGTGCCGAAAAATCTCAGTGATAAATTGAAAAAAATATATATAGATACAGTATATATGAATTTTGCTCAGACCTTTTGGAAAGAGAAGAAGCTGGAGATGACCTGCTTCACAGAGTCATTTCTGGTGATGAGTCATGGGTCTTTCAGTACGACCATGAAACGAAACGCCAGAGCGCTCAGTGGAAAACTGTAAACTTGCCGCGCCCCAAAAAGTGTCGCATGTCAAAGTCGAAAGTAAACACAATGTTCCTCACTTTTTTTTTATTCTAAGGGTGTAGTTCACAAAGAATTTGTTCCCCCAGTGTTGGGTGTGAACCAGTTTTACTATCTCGACTTGCTTAAAAGACTCAGAGAAAAGGTTAGACGAAAACGCCCTGAACTTTTCGCTGGAAATAAGTGGATCTTGCATCATGACAATGCCCCAGCACACACGGCATTGATTGTGCAGGAGTTTTTGGCTGCGGAACAAATTACCTTACTGGAACATCCTCCTTATTCACCTGAACTGGCCCTGTGTGACTTTTCTATTTCCTTTGCTGAAGAAACACATCAACGGGATGCATTTTCAAGACGTGGATGACATTCAGAGTAGCACAATGGTAGCAATAAAAGCTATTCCAGAAAGTGGGGTCCAAAAATTTTTCCAGGGGTGAAAGAAATGCTGGCATTTGTGTATAGCATCACAAGGAGAGTACTTTGAAGGGAACCACAGTGTCGATCTTCGGTAAGGTACGTGCCGGTGCCTGTGGCATGAGTTGGCGAACTTAATTGTCAGACCTCGTATATGAATGATCAAACTAACGTTGGACAATGAAGGCCGTAAATAAGTATCAAAGAATAGATTGATTGTCTAAATCAGGTATGGGCAACCCGCGCCCCATGGGCTGCCTGTGGCCCAGATCATGTGTTTGTGCGGCCCGTGCAGTAATTGAGAATTTCTATTTAATTTGGCTTGCAGTTCAGGTAGATGCAACCAGTTTATGGTGAGTAAAGCAATATTTATTAAAAGAATAATCTTCGCACACAATTCATTGCTGTTTCATCACCTAAGAGTAAGTAACTACGAAAATGTAAC